GGGGGGGGGGGGGGGGACTCTGGTCCCTACAAAAAAATGCACCTCTGTTCAGCTCGGTTGGGAGGGGGTTGGGAGCACCGCAGATTTCTGATGTCATGGGGGTATCGCACCATCACGTTTCCTAATGGGGCGTTTCTTGCGTTGTGGCCGAGATTTAGAAATGATTCTGAGCCCTTTTTGCTTATTTTTCGAACAAAGTTGAGCCTTTTAATTACAGATTTTTTCGCAACTGCGGGTGCTATCTGTATTTATTTGTATGTACGCGAGGGGAAGGGGTGGCGAGTACCGTGAGACGCAGTACCTTCTTTCGAAGGCCGTTCATTCGTTTACTCATGAAACTCAACAGAGCCAGCCGTAGAGCCAAGCCGCGGGGGGGGGAAGTTCAGGGTACTCTTCGCGATATGTGGAATGAAAAGCCATCAGGATAGCTTTGGGCTCCGCCGGGACAGTGATATGAACTGGTGTTCCTCGGTGCGACGCTGAAATACGCTCGTTTTTTTTTTGTTACACAAGAATGAGATGAATATGTGTCTACTTGGACTTTCCTCCTTCTTCCGCTGCCGGTTACTACAGTGCCGGAACTTGTCACACCGATTTCAGTTGACCCGCCATAACTTCATCAATATTTATTAGGAGTACTTGTTTTCATTTTTTTTTCTTGCATTGATCTCCACCGCAAACCCCACAAAAAGTTGTTCGGGGACCAAATCGATTTGAGACATTTATTTATTTATTTTTGCCTTCCGACAATTGCAGATGTACCTCAGAAAACTTTCACTTAATGTCTCATACTCTACATGAATATTAAACCAATACGANCGAGCATATGCGTGTCATCGTCATCGGATGCTGCAGCGAGGAGCTAGACAAGTTGCTAGATTTGCCCAGATTGGCTATTTCTGCTCAAACTGTTTCAGGGCGGTATCGCGTCGGGCGGTGGGCTCTGCTGTAGCTTCTGCTCCCCGCTGTAGCTCCACAACGAGAGACTCCCACAGGATGACCAGGGTAGCGGCTTGAAGCTACGGGCTAGCCCTTCAATTCAAGCTACACAGCAAGCTCCACCTCTCAGTGGTAGTCCGGCTACAGCGTATCGCGCAATCTCGCTCTCAATCAGATGCTACGCTCTCAATCAGGCGAATATGTTGTTAAACGAAAACAAACGCGTTCTACCATGCGTCTACACTCCATCCCCATATCGTTGGCGTTGACTGGTCCGAGGTCGATCTTGTTCGCCTGTTTTCGGCGTCTTGACGCCCGCGCAATGCGAGCTTGTACCTCTGCACTCGCCGAGATATGGACATTCATTCCTGAAAATTCATGGTTTTCGTATAGGGTTTTCCAGGCGTTTTGGGGGGGGAGGAGATGAAACGTTTCGGCCAATATCTCGACAACCATTACATCGTATCATGTCCCTTTTTTCTCTGAGTAAGTTGATAGCGGCGGGGTTGACCAGGCGAACACGATGTGATTCTAAAAAAAAAAAGAACACTTGAACAGTAGTATGTATGACACATTGGAATGGGGGCACAACATATTATTGGTGTGTCATTTTCTGGTCGCAAAACACATCATCAATCAACGCTTGATCATTCGTCATTTTAGCTCCAATCATCGAGAAGAAGTGCCTGTATTTACACACCACAACACCCCGCACCCTTTTTTTACACTTGCGCACGTACTACGAACAGTGCCCAATAAAAACACTGACGCTACGATCGACCGGGTGGTATAATGCAGCCAGTCAGGGAAGCAAACAAAAAGGCAAAAAAGCACAACAATATCATCCCCGGATAAACAGACATCGACAAAGGCAGCGGCGGCATCCTTCGGAAAACCATACATACCGACTCTTAGCACACGTTACGTGGGGTTTTTGTACTTGTGCGACTTGAACTTCTTTTGCACCTTGACTGCCTCGGCGCCCTTCAACCCTGCGCCGTACACCGTGCGGAAATTGGCTACCTTCCTGCAGAACTTTTGCACTATTATTGCTATGCTCAAGCTGTCCTCTACCGCGAAGCTCTTGGGAACATTCTCTCGCCAGCACGCCATAGTGTTCTTTCAGTGCCTGCGGAGCCACCACTTGGATCCACCCCACACAAGCTCGATCGGGTTCAATCGGGTTCAACTCGCAGTGGAACTTGGGAAGCATGAGCGCAACCCCTCCGTGGCACTTCAGCAAAACCTCTAGACTAGAAGACTAGATTCGACGTCTTGAAATAAATCCTTTTTTTCCGCGCGCAACACCGCCGGCATTCTCATCTTTTCGTTAGGCTTCTGGCCCTTCTTGCCCCCCGTAATGCTCATCCCCGCGATCCAAAGCCCCCTCTCAAACAGGGTTTGCTTCATCCCCTTGACATTGCCTACGTGATCAGTGGCGCCCGGTTCGTAGAATGGGTACTCTCCCTGCTGAAATGTGAGGTGCTGCACCGCTCCTTTCTTGAGTTTGGGTATGTTTTCCAGCACGTGGACAATTTTTTTAGAAAAGCGGTATTATAGGTTGGCTCTCAGACAAGCACCGCAGGAGGGTGTGAATCCTCGACTCTTGTACAAGAGGCCTCCGTGAGCAAAGGTCGTGGGTATGGACGATGCGTAGAAAGAACCGGACAGACAAGGAAAGGTCGACAGAGTGGGATCTCGGGTGAGAGCCGAAGAGACAACGATGGAAGTGACAGAGTGGTGCGAGCAGAGCGAGGGCACCGTCATCGAATAAGCCGACGTGGCGGGGACTGAGCTGGCACGCTGAGCTGGCAGGCTGACGTAGGCCAGCAGCCAGGAAGATACCGCCGTAGCGGGGACGAAATAGGCCGCACGAGATGGCGTGCGGCGTATCTCTCTCTCGCGCATACAAACTGATGCGATGCAAAAGTGTGAAGCGAGAACGAAAAGTTCTACCGCTCTCTCCCTTCTTCCCCTCGCTCCTCGACAAGCTTTTGCTTAGACATGGGTTGTAGTGAACGGGGGGGTCTTTCTGGCGAGCAGGGCTAGACTCACCCTCAAGGGATGACCGAAACCTTCTTGCTGCTGCGCAT